CGACAAGTAGGTTTTGAGGCTTTTAGTCCGTATCTTTCATCTATATGCTAATGTAATCCAAAAAGTTGACAAAAGTTATGCAAACTGTTATGCATTTAAAATGTCTGTCTTCCTCTTCCAGAAAAAAAAAATCAATTTAAAGGGATCATATGATGCGATTTCAATTTTTCCTTTCTCTTTGGAGTGTTACAAGCTCTTGGTGCATAAAGAAGATCTGTAAAGTTGCAAAGACTAAAGTCTCAAATCCAAAGAGATATTCTTTATAAAAGTTAAGTCAGTCACACCTACCTAAAACGGTTCGTTCTAACACGCCCCCACATATCTACCTCACTATGTGGGAAGATTTGCATAACACCGCCCAAATGTTCACGCAAAGAAAGAAGGCGTAACTTTTATTCTCGCTGTAGTATTGTTGCCGCCGCCATGTCGTGAAGGCGCTGTGTTTCATTGTGAAAGCGAAACTACTTTGTTTGGTCTTCCAAAAGAGGACGATATCTGTCATGCCTGGAGCTGATCCGTGCTGGTTGCTGAGGAAATACAACAACTTTGCGCTGTGGATCGCCGGATCGGCTTTCTCCGTGGACGAAGCAGAGTCCAGCCCGGGGTTGTCACATGTGGTTGCCGCAAGACTCCTTCATCGAATCCGCCTGCCGCGACGTTTTCAAGCCCGCCGCCTCTGCTTACTCTAGCCCTCCGGCTGTTCCTCACTCTAGCTCCCGGCCTCTGCTCACTCTAGGCCGCCGTGTGTGACGCTGTGAAAGCGAAACTACTTTGTTTGGCCTTCCAAAAATGGACACGACTAGAAATCAGTGGTTAAGTTGTATTTACAACACTGTTCCAGACCACTTCAACCCAAATATTCGGATGTGTCCAGCACATTTTATGGAGGACTGTTCGTAAAAATCGACGCGTTTCAGAAAGGCGGGGCATAGAGGAGAAACAATAATGTACAGTATGTGAAAAATAATGTGTTTTTTGAACCTTAAACCGCATAAACACATTTCATTACACAAAATACACAAAATAATGTTATTTTTAGCAACATCATATGACCCCTTTAAGACATAATCTCCCAGTTAGGGGTGTATTCAAATCTCTACAATGTCTCCTCCTGCTAAATTATAAATATTATAAATACCACTTGTCACTAGCAAATCATGTTGTGTTAAGCTGTGACCTGTAAACTAAATACTATTACCTATTTAACAAAAAAAAACACAAGCCATTATTTCACCCCATATCCATGTTTCAATAGAAATATGAAAAGAAAAGAAAACGGCATTCGTCAAATCACCCCCCCCCCTAAAAATGCCTGATATAGGCTACTGTTGGTCTCTATGTATTTTAAGGCCAAGGACCCCTTAATAGATGAAGTAGGAGCTGTATGTGTTCAGTAGAATATTAATGTATTTACACATTTAGTCATCAGGGTTATTATTGTTAACCAAATCTACAACCATCAAAAACATTTTCATTACTTGAAAGAAAGTAAACATTAATTGAAATAAAATTGAATATATTGCCAAGACAACATTTCCATTTTGGTGTATGTACTAAAATAAACAACCTAAATAAACTAAAACTTAATAAAAACTATATACAGTAGACATACAAAAAACCTAATAAAACAACAAAAATGTATAAACATTAAACTAAAATTTAAATAAAACAGAAAATATAAAAACAAAACCTCATTATAAATGTTAACAAAAATTAGAATAGTCATAACTAGAGCCCGACCGATATGGGTTTTTTTGGGCCGATGCTGATACCGATATTAGGGAGTAAAAAAAGACAAAATACCGATATATCGGCCAATATTCTTTATGTTTAGGCTATATTATAGTACACTATAGTCAAAAGTTTGGACACACTTCCCATTCGTGTGTCCAAACTTTTGACTGGTACTGTATATAGAATACAGTATATAGCCTACATAAACAGAATATATATACATAAACACATTTTTTTGCAATGATAACTCAAATGTGGTGATCAAACACTTATAATGATGTGACAAACATAGGCCTATGTAGTGGAGGCAGGGTATTTAACAATTTAACAATAAACTTTATTATTCAAAATGAGTCTGACATCAGTGCATTTAACAGTAAACTCCATTTATTATAAATAACTTAACACAAATAGAACAAAAAATATATAACTTGAATTAAGAAATTAAACAAGGTAACTGTGTAGGGCAAGCAAGCTACTGCCAAAACAACAGGGGCAGGTTTATGCAGGAAGCACAGATTTTCCAAATGTAAACATCTAAAATAAATAAATAATAATAATGATATATTTTTGGGATATTGATGTGGATATTGTTGTTTATTTACTTAGCATTGAGTCTCTCAACTAGGTGACAACGTAGCGTTAAATCACCATTCAACAGACTCAAACCACCACCGCACTGCTGTCTATTGGACTGCAGAAAGTTGCTAACTTTTCAATCTGCTGTGTTACTGATTGTACTGACAAACTATGCTGACACCGTGTCTGCGCCGCAACAGGACGCAACAAAGCGACGGTTGAAAATCATTTGAACTTTGTGTCAGCACGTCATGAATAGAACGAGGCATCAGTTTACTGCATCCAGTGTAGACAACATACACCAGACACGCTCTGGCTGGTTCTGGGCCACGGCGCGGCTGGTATAAACACGCGATCAGCTCCGGTGGCCGTAACACAGGTTTTAATGCGCCGCAGACGCGTGCCGTGATGCGCAGATCAGCTCTAGTCTCTAACGTCACTGAATCTGCTGTTAAAAATGAGCCATCCATTCATCATATCATCATGCAAAACTATTAGAATCATTGTAATGTGACGATCAAATATAGGTGTGGGTGAGTTGGTGGGCGGATAATTTGAAGAAGCGGACTTGGGTGAAGTTTGAGCTCATCCACGCATCTCTACACTACACTGACCTGGGTTATGGGATATTAGACTCAAAATGATTAATAGATGCACGCACAATTATCCATGTACTGCATAAATGTTATACTTGTATCTTACTAACCACAAACAAATACCTTTCAATTTGATCAAATGATTGTGCAGCGATTTTTACAAATACAGGCATGTTTTCGAATAAAAATGTTCTCTTCTGCATTAATATATCATAAATTGCTCATGCAAAAAGGAATCTGTGCATATGTGGATCAGGTGACATGCGTGCATTAATTGATGTCTAGTTCGAGTCGATCTTGTTCGGTTAATTTGGATTTTGAGACTTCATTTTTGCAGTTTACAGCATTTCACGTCCCCCACACACACAACTACCAACGAACAAGGCCCAGTGCAATTCATTAACGTGTACACGATTTGAAAAATTTGCAAATGTGCGTCACTACACTGAAATGCTTTTCAACCGTGTCTGCAGAGTTAGAATTACATTAATGTGCAGCATTTTGTTCAAATAGAGACAAATTTGTGAATACAAATGTTATAGTTTGTATTGAAGTATCATAATTTGTGCATGTAGCAATTGAAATGTGCATTTGTGGATCAGGCGACGCGTGCATTCGTTCACGCATTCCATTGAGTATGGTTTTATGAATGTTACATTGTGTTTTCCTTTTGGTTTGGCTATTGTCTTCTACCGTTGAAATATAATAAAGATGTTTTATTGAACTTGTTCTAACTTAACTTGTCTTAAGACACAGAATAGCTTATATTAATTTTGCCAAACACGAACTCTGTTACGATGCTGATTAGCCATCTCTGCAGTACGAGAGAAATGCACCTTTCATATAGGCCTACAGCATTGCAAACGCTGCAGCCTGTTCATTATCAGAATAAAATAGTCAACCAAACATACAGTGCCTTGTACTAAGGGCTGTTTTAATTAACCAGTGTAGCTATCTAGATTCTATAGTGTATACAGTGCCTAGTGAAAGTATTCATACCCCTTTATTTTTTTCACATTTTGTTATGTTGCTGCCTTATGTTAAACTGCTTTAAATTACTTTTTTTCCATATCAATCTACACTCCATACACCATAATGGTAAAGCAAAAAACTTGTTTTTAACATCTTTGTAAATTCATTAAAAATAAAAAACAAATGATTCCATTGCATAAGTACTCTGGGACAGTTGAAATTTAGCTCAGGAGCATTCATATTGCTTGTAGATGTAACTACACTTCAAGTGAAGTTAACCTGTGGCAAATTCAATTGAATGGGTATAATTTGGAAAGGCACACATGTCTTAATTAAAGGTCTAACAGCTGACAATGCATATCAGAGCAAAAACCAAGCCCTGAGGTCAAAAGAACTGCCTGTAGAGTTCAGAAACAGGTTTGCATCACGCCACACATCTGGGGAAGAGTTCAGAAAAAAATTCTGCTTCATTGAAGGTTCATAGAAGCATGTACTCTCTGTTACCCTTAATGGAAGACGTTTGAAACAACCCGGACTCTTCCTAGAGCTGGCCTCCTGGCCAAACTGAGCAATTGATGGAGAAGGGCTTTGGTTAGAGTGGTGACCAAAAACCTGATAGTCACTCTAGTTGAGCTCCATGATCATATGTGGAGACAGGAGAAACCTACAGAAGGACAAACATCACTGCAACACTAATGACCCTAAGCACACAGCAAGAGTCAATTATAGACAACTCTGTGAATGGCCTTGAGTCGCCCAGCCACAGCCTGAGCTTGAACCCAATCAAATATTTCTGGAGAAACCTGAAAATGTGCATCTGCCCCCATCCAACCTGACAGAGCCTGGGAGGTGAAAAGGTGAGGAGAAGAATGGCAGATAATTGCCAAATGATGATGATCAAAGCTTGTCGCATCAAACAAAAAAGACTTGAGACTGTAAAGGTGCTTCAGCTAAATATTTATGGATATGAATACTTATGCAATGTACTTATTTCAGTTTTTATTTTAAATACATTTACGAAGTTGTGACAATTCTGTTTTTGCTTTGTCAGTATGGTGTATGGAGTGTAGAATGATGTGGAAAAAAAGTAATTTAAAGCAGTTTAATATAAGGCAGGAACATAACAAAACGTGAAAAAAATAAAGGGGTATGAATACTTTCACAAGGCACTGTATACACTATAGAATCTAGATAGCTACACTGGTTAATTAAAACAGCCCTTAGTACAGTCCGTGCCGTTCAGCCTGAGCTCGGGCCAAGCACATATTTGCTCATGTGAAGAGAATGATTTTTCATGTGAAGAAGACTTTTTTGGAAAGTGGGTTAAGTACAAAGCCTGGTTACATAGGCCTAATAAATAATAGTCTGTTGCATTCAAATTCAAATAGCCAACATTGTGAATATGGAAACATTTGGATTCGTGCCAAATGAGAGAGTAAGAAAGAGGCCCCCAAAAAAAAAAAAAAAAAAAAAAAAAACAAAATTCCTAAAAAAAAAATT